ATAGAGAAGTTGCTGCAAGTGCTGGAGTCACTTCCATGTGAGTCAATTGGCCATTAATTAATTAATTGTTTCCATTTTAATAATTAAGATTTATAAATTAATTAATATTAATAATATATTTGATTAGGCCAACATTTAAATTTTTTAAAGATGGAAAACAAATTGGTGAAATGTCGGGTGCCAATCCTGAAGAACTTAGAAGACTTGTTGCTCAACATGCCGCCAGTGCGCTTCAACCAGGCGAATCTAGTACTTTGACTATTAACGGACATGTAATTATTTTACTGTTATTGTAATCATAAATATATATTTTCTAATATTGATTAATTAATTTCCTTTTGCTTTTTTTTAAAAAAAAAACAAGAGTGATATAAATGAGTTTATCACACTGAATCAAATTGATTGTCTTAATCAACAAGAAAATAATAATGTTCGAAATCTTTTTAAGAAAGATGATACAATTTTGGAATCTGATGTTGATGAACAGCTTTTAATTTCTATTCCGTTCAATCAATCTGTCAAGATTCATTCAATAAAACTCGTTATAAAAGATACTGGTATTATTTATTTATCTACATACATATATATATATATATATATATATGATTGATAATTTTATTACAATGATGATAAATTATAAATATTAATATAATAATAATATAGCACATGCCCCAAAGACAATCAAATTATATGCAAACAGACTTGATCTTGGTTTCGACGAGACAGACTCGATTGAAGCAACACAAATAATAGAAGTGTCAGAAAAAGATTATGAAAAAGATGGTGGTGCTATAATTCCTTTAAGATTTGTCAAATTTCAATCAATTACAAATCTCGTTGTAAGTATTTAAAATTTCCTTGCATTTTTTTTTATTGTAACCATAATTATTATGATTGCCAAATAAATGTTAAACAATTCAAATAATTATATATTTCCACCAAAAAAGTTATTCATTTATGATAATTTAGGAGGAGAAGAAACAACCCAACTTAAGGAATTGATATTCATTGGGTACTATATATAATTCTCATTGAGTGATTCATTTATGTTTGGAATTTTTTTACTAAATATCTACTATATATAGATCTCCTGTTGAAACAACTAAAATGGAAAACTTAAAGAAAATTGGTGAAGGTCAACAGTGATATCAATGATGGCAGTAGTAAACAGCTATTACAACAATAATTTTGATCATAATATGAGATTATATTTATTAAATAAATGAATATATATAAATGAATAATAAATATGTGTATGTATATGACACTCATTTTATATAATGACAAAAATGACAAAATTATATATAATAAATGAAAAAAAATTTTTTGTCTATAAATAAATAATTTTTTTACATTTTTAATAAAACTATTAAAAAAAAAAATTAATTTAATTATTGTTTCTTGGAATAACCATACACGTCAACACCAATTGTTAGTAAACCAATGACAATTTCAAATGCTATTTAATAATAAATATTCAATTAATAATGATTATAATTAAAAATCTTAGTATAAACATACAAATAAAAATTAGATTACATACTAATTAAAACAATTACAATCCATTCGAGGTATTCACCTTTAACAATTACAAAATTTATAAAAACAAAAACAATTAATTAACTATTATACTTTAATGAATCATTCTCTCAAAAAAAAATTATAAATAAAAAACAAACAAACCGTGAGAGCTTGTCAAGTGTTCTTTTAACATATCCAAAAGATCGCCTAAAACATAAAAACAATATACAAATACATACAAGTAATTATTAAATCGTAACATGATAATTAAGATTGTAATAAGATAATTACAACAGTAATATAGTAATTAAAATTGTAATAAAATATATCGTCATAATCTAATATGTAATACACACTTATCACAGACACTCTTTGATTAAGTAGTTCAACACGTTGTGATATTTCAAGATAGCCTCTGATTGCAGAGTATAATGGTTGATATGTAGGTTCTGACCAAAAAATCTCTGGTGTATCCAATACATTACTAACCAAATTCACATTTATTCTCACAATAAACAGCTATAAACAATTAATAAAATAATTATTAGATATCTCGTAGCATTTAATTAAAATATGATAATGACAGTCAAGAAAATCAATTGACATTTTATTAACTTTACCTGACCAATCTTTTGTGTAATGGCCGTTCTGAATAAAATATATTTTGAATGATTATTTTTGACTCAAAGATTCCAAAAGTAAAAAAAAAACCAAAATATAATAATAATAATAATAATAATTGTAATACATACCTTGACATTTGTACTTTACCTGTTTTTGACATTGTTTGAGGAATATGTTTTGTATCCTCTATTGTGCTCTCAATTAACTCTTCAAATAATGTCATCTTAACAGATTGAGCTATTGCGTGTGATATCGTAAGTTTTACCATATAGTTACCCGGATTTTTTAATGTAATTACATCATTGTAAATCCTAAATTAAACCAAAATGATTGTTATAGTATTTTATAATAGAAGATAAATTAAAAATCTCTACCTTGGTTGATAAGAAGCTGCATAATGAAAATGAAATTCTTCTGTTTCGACATCTTCTGGAGCTATATTGACATATAAAGTATGTATAATACAAGCATTACGTTACCTAATAATAATAATAATATCAGATTCCACAAACATGAATAATAATCTTACACAATTTTTCTTCCTCAAAAGATACTAATTCATTCAACAGAATCTTTTCTTCGTTTTCTTTCATACCCCAAATAACAACCACTCCATACTCGAAGAAAAAAACTTCCGGAATCGTTTGCTCAACTTGATTTGTTATTGCGTGATCATCAAGACCTAAGAGGTCGATAGTTGTATATTGCTTTGACGGTTGAAAAGTAAAAGGTGTATATATACTATAGCGAATATGAATACATCGGGCATATATATTCATTTTGATACAATTAAATTCCTTTTTATTTAATATATACAGTGCATTATATAATGTTTAAGTACTTACCATTCATCAAAACGTTTAGGCGCTGTGGAATTCTGTATTTTACGACTTTGCAAATACTTTAGTAGTTCTTCCGGGCGATATGAGCTAATGATAATTCAAAAAAAGATTTAGAAAAACAACCAATTCAATCAATTCAATCAATTCCATTCAATTTTTAACTTACGCAGCAGTACAATAAGCTGTAACCCGAGGAAGTTGTTGACGTTCCTTTTTGCTAAACCTTTCAGCTTCTCTACGAGAGGTACCTTGAGGAAGTTGTCCAATTTGATCGTACTTGTCGTCAGTTTCAACTGGACTAGTTATTTCAAGATCTTCAGGAAATAATGCTAATTTCTGAGAGGTTTTTGTGGTTCTAGTGGCTGTTACTCCTCTGGCCCGATGTTGTGAGTCAGACGAAGAAGGAATAGAATTAATCAAATGTTTTGTTGGTGTTATGTCTTGAGCTGGAGTTAATGGAGTATAACGATGTTTTTGCATTTTTGAAAATTTTTTCTAAAAAAATCTTTTCTACGATAGGATTTTTTAAATAGATTTCTGAGATATTCATGGTACCGATTCAAAATTTTATTGGTTAAATTCTTATGCGAGAGAAATAAACAAACAGACCGTTTTGTTATTGGTTTTTTTTGTATTGATGGTAGATTTATTGTTGACTTTATTATCATTGATGGACTTAAACAACAATCAGTCCCTGAACCAATGGATTTGACAATAACAATTGCGAAATGCTTAATTTTAAAATGATAAGAATTAGATGCATTTCTAAAACTTTAATTTAAAAAAAAACCCCCCATATAAGAAAGAATACCTAATTTAAGATCGTTAATTCTTTGCTATTTTATATATATTCCAACAAATGAACTTTTCATGATTTTTTCTAAGATTCAAATTATTTTCATAAGAAGGATAAAAAAGATAACCGCAATAAAGGTTGATTGACTATTGATGCTAATATTTAATTCCAAATCATTGAACAGATAAAATTATATATTTAACGATATACATATATATTGTACGTTCAGGTCTACTCGATATTGAATGATTCAATCATAAAAATAAAACTGATCATTTACAATCCACCTATATACTAATTAATCTGTTTCTTTCAAGTTCTACATATTTGTATTACGAAAATTTTTCGTGTCACGAACGGTCTTTCTTAATGATCGTATATACGGTAAATGATTGATTCATTATATGACAAAAAACTTTAATACCAATGCTTATTCCAATGGTTTTTTAAAATAAAAATAATCATTGCCATCAATCTTTTCTATGAGGTTAGAACGGCTGGTGCCAGTCCTTAAAAAGGCAATAATGTAACATACGTAAGTGGCAAACTTAATATTATTATTAATAGTAAGGAAAACATTAACAAATTGTCACATGCTATATGAATAAATTATTCACACACTAAAAAATGAATTTTTTTTAGAATTATGAATTTTTGATCCAATTGATGTCTTTGACTTGTAATTGGTTGAAAAAGATGGCTGACACAGCTCGTGCAAGCTGTGATTTTTATTTTATTTAACAATTGATAAAATAAAACTTGTCCCCTCCTAAAAAACCGCATTAAGGGTCGGTTTCACGGTCTCGCAAAAAAATACCACTTTTCTAATCGGTTATTTTTGTATATTTGTATTGTTACGCGATAATGTTGATTTGTTGATTTTGTTTATTTTATGTAGTAATAGATTGACAAAGAAAGTCGACGAGTTACAATCGTAGGCTTAGTCGAAAACATCGTCAAATGTTGACAAAGTAGACTTTGTCGAGGAAGTGGTCGTCTAATAAAACGTTTTCCAAAACTATTCGTTCGTAAATGCTTTATTCAGGTTGATCACAATTAGTTATTATTATTATTATTATCCTCGTAATCATCTATATGCTCTACATTACCTTCAAACTTTATTTCAAATTTACACGACAAATGTAATGATAATAATCAATTCTGATTTAGCATTTAGTAAAGATTAATAACAGCTGACAACTATTCTCCACGAATCATTATTTATATCTTTTGAAACGACACATTGAATTACATTCTTGTGTCAATGCATCAATGGCCCTAGCTGAACTACCACTAGAATTTGAAGTATCGGTCCAAGGAATATCGTTCACATCAAAAGCCTTTGAAACATCAAGGTAAATAAAATCCGCATTTTCTGCTCTACCACCTTGAAAACAAATCTTGTTATCAACAAGAACCAGATCTTGCAGCTGGGATAAAAAAGTATAAATGCAGTTATTGAGTTGAAAAATAATTTTAAACTTCGTTTTGTAAATCAAAAAATTGAACGAAATCACTATCATTATAGTTTTTGCATATTGATATATGTTTGCATATTAGCATTAAAGATCACAAACTATCTTTATTATAATAACAAATAAAGTAATAAAATTAAAACAAATACCAAATCACAATGTTAACCTTTTTTCATTTATTTTTTCATTTTGTTTGTTATTTGTTCGTTCGCATATCCAGTATATTTGTATTCATTGACAATATAATTTACATTCATATGAAGTCAGCCATATATGTATGTGTAAATGTTTATATTGGAGACAAATGATAATAACATAAAAATAAAATAAAATGAACATCTTTGATCAAAGCAAAACACGATTTGACAATTCTCATGGGTTAATATCCTAATAATATTGCAAATAATACGATTATTTATCAACAATTAGGACCGCTCAAATGGCCACGATGTCAAATGACCCTTGTTGTTAAAAACTTTTAAATTTATAATGTAATCCATTCTCATTATTAATACCTTCTTTCAAACTAATTATTAAATCTTTTATTTCCAAGTTTAATAGTTTTCCTCTGCCTTTCGTTGAATCCTTTGGAAAAATAATCTTTGATTTTACCATAGGATCAAAGAAGTTCACTATATTAAAGGATTTAAAACTAAATACCTATTCTATCAACTAATAATGCTATTTTTTTAAAAGGTACAACAGAAAGTGCCCTCAAATTTAGACTGAGCCAACTATATAAGGTGATTGTCAGCCAATCCAAGGATCTACAACAAGGGTTAACCTTACCATTTGAGACATCGATCCTAAGGTTAATATTAAACCTTTTACTGGTAAACCATGACCCAATCTACTAATTAAAATTGGGGTTACACGTAACCACCCAACAATCCAGACACCCCCGTTAAAAGGTTGAACCTCAATGTTTGAGAATATAGATCCTTGGATTGGGTTCCATTTATTTTAATTTTTCTTTTCTGATAATAGAATTTTTAAGCTAGCTGTAAATATAAATTTTTTTTAATTTTTAAAGTAAAATTATTATATTTAATTATGCACAAAGTAGTGGAACCAAGACTCTTAATTTAAGCAGTATATTTCCATCATCTTCAAAATAATGTATTTTTTATTACTAATAATATTTCTATTGCTTGCAAGGTTTCCCTTGTGTCATTAGATGTATTACTGGTATCAAACCTTCAGCCTCATTAAATGATTCATAAAATTCACTTGTTACATTCATTGTTAGGAAGATAGAAAGAATATGTGATTACATAAATGGAAAGAAAATGAAGACAAAACTTTTCTTTTACCCAAGTTTCAGGTAACAAATTGATGTACCCTACAAATTCTTTATTTTTAAAATGATTAATTGATCATGTGATCTTGTCAACAAAATTATTGTGAAATGGGGGAAAAAAATTGTCATTACTTGATATCATTAGTATTAGTCAAAAGAAGCAATTGATACTCGCTACAGTGGCTGAAACTCTAGTGGCAGCAGCATTGCTTATATTTATTCCATCATTACATGTTTATGTACATATGTAAACTCAATAAGTTGGTCATGTGGGGGTGAACTCATATGACCGACTTATTGAGTAAACTGACTTATCAAAATTAAATTACTTAAATATTAAGAAAATGGGGTGAAAATTTTGGCCGACTTGTTGAGTGACCAACTTATCAAGTTTACATATGTATTCAAGTTAGACGATGCACAATTGCTAAAATTTAAAACCCATTTGCAATTAACTTTTTTATAACTTTCCAGTCAAGCACACAAGTCAGCATTATTTACAGACATGTTTCTTCATCATTTTGATTTCCATTGACTCAAAAATAGAGATTTTTACATGTGACAAAGTAGATGAAGGTGATTACTATTTTCTTCTTTGACATGTCTTAGTTGTCATAGCAAAAAAACAGTCAAATCAATGGTTCAACAAACTTCATTTCAACAATTTTTGGATGAATTTTGTTTTAGCCCTTTTTCATTAATTAAAAAAAGTCACATTTCAATGAATTTTACTCAGATTGGATTACAATGGGCAATGAACTTTTTGGTAGATTTTCAATAATAATAAGTACTGATCATGTTTCAACTAAACCATATGATAGACAATCAAGAATATAAAAGCTCTCAAGTGGTAAAGTTATTGTAACAATTTTTTTTTTTGCAAAGAAAAAATATTAAATTTAAAATAAAAAGTTATTTATAAAAATTTAGTTTAAAATTCTAAATCTTGATATTTTTTTGTCAATCATAGAACTTTATTGTAAAAAGGTTTAGGTCCTCTCCAATTCTTCATAAGATTATCAAAAGAATTGACATTAACAGTAGAAAAATTACAAGTATTAATTACTGACTTTAATTTTTTTGATTTAGTACTGAAAGTATTTTATCACCATCTAACCCATTCCACAAAATGAATTGTAATACTTTCTAACTTAATACAGTTGTTGAATACTTCTGTTAATTCCTGGTTTAACTCATTATTATAAAGTATTGATAAGTTTACTAAATTTTTACAATGTTGTGAAATAACTTTCCCGAAAATTCAATATCATTGGATCATCACCAGCATCCAGATATTTAAAGAGTTTTTTCCATTGATGTTAATATAATCAGACAAATCTGATAGAAATGGATGCTTAACAAATAACCTCAGATTCAATATTTGCCAGTGAAATATTTCTCAAACATTTTATTCTATTATTACTAGCAAAAAGGCTAGGAGGAGAATTTAATCCTAAAGTCTTCAAATTGATTAATGTTGGTAATATTATATGATCATTATTATCTAATCCATTACTTGAATACATATGTAAACTCGATAAGCCGGTCATGTCGGGGCAGACCCCTGCGACCGACTTATCGAGAGAACCGACTTATCGAATTTCACGTGATTTTTTAATTTATTAAAATAAAAAAATGTTAACATTGAAAATATATAATATATATAATAATAAACATCAAAAATATATAATAATAAACATAATAATAATAAAATTTCTTAGCAAACACGTAGTGTATGTACACGTGTCACGTGCATTACATAATAAAATTTGCATCAATAAAAAAATTATCTATAATGTGTGTTTTGAAAGGTTAATGTTAAGTATT